CGATTTGAAAAAATCAAATCAAATTCAAATTGCTTAAATATTTGATTCGATTCGATTTTGAGGAACCCTAATTTTCATGCTGCAGGAATATCATATGAAGCAATTATTACTACAGCACGAATATTTTTACCATTTGGATATTCGTGAGTTTGAATTAGAGTAACCCTATTCCAAAGTGTCTCCAATTCGGTTATTAAAGGTAAAAGATAATAGTTTATTCTGTGCAAACTAACTTCGTTAGGCCCAGGTAATATACCAAGTATAAGTATATTTTCAGCCTTAAATCTGATATTTCGTGATAGGTTACATATTACTGCATATATTATTTCAGTGCTGTGAATTATTCCTTCGTAAAGTTAAAACCAGTTTAGGTTTATTATTAAACCAAAATTAGTATCAGCCTTTTCTAGACGAAAAAAAATATTCTCTTCTTATCCAGATTTAAAATTTTTCCATATCTGTTATCTGATAAAATATTAGCATTTATTGAACGTTTACTTCAATACCGTAATGATTCTTCAAATCCAGGCTGTTGAAACATGTTATAAAGTTGTTGTTTAATACTTGCAACTGTATAAACTAATTCAGGCTTAAATGATATATTATTGTTCAAAGTGTTCTGTTTCGCCAAAAGGGTTTCACATTTTTTGTATCATTTTGTAACTGAATTGGAGAATTCTATATAACCATATTTTGCAATTGTTCTATCATATGCTATATCATCCATTTTATATAATTTATGACATTTTTTGTAAGCTGCGAAACTTGTAAATTGATCAATCAAGTCCAAGAGTTTTTTTTACCTTATACAATGATTTTGGAAACAATTTGTGATCAGAGTCTCCATATTCCTTCAATAACAATTTAACAAATTTTATCAAAGCTTCAGTCGGAATATCTGATAGTTTATAATTTGATCTAAACTTCATTATCTAGATTAAAATCCATGTGAATCGATCTTTTTTTGGTGATTTCAAAGTATTTAGTGGGTCAAATAATGGATGAGAGTAATTTTCAAAAATATTAAAAAATTCATATCATCATTATCACCATTAATAGAATTTTCGGAATTTTCACTACTGTAAATATCATCATCTATATATACATTATCTCTGATATATTCATTTGTTATATCACCATTATCACTATTAGATTCATCAGAATTAGGGTTCCCAATTTGATTCAATTCGATCAAATTCAAATCAAAGAATTATTTATTTGATCAAATCCAAATTAATCTTTGATTTGATTCGATCAAATTC